TAGACGTATCTTTTACACATACTTTCTACTAGTCTGTGGCATGTCTCTTCATTTCTCCTGGCACTTTGATAAGGCATTCTTTCATTTTTAATGAAATCTAGTTTAACCATTTCTTCTTTCAGGCTTCATGCCTTTGGTATTTTATCTAAAAAGTAAACTTCAGGTTCATCTAGATTTTCTCCTATGCTATCTTCTAGGAGTCTTACAATTCTGCACTTTACATTTAGGTCCATGATCCGTTTTGAATTAATTTTTGTGAAGGGTATAAGGTCTGTGTCTACATTCATTTTGTTGCATATGGAGGCCCAGTTGTTCGAGCACGTTTGTTGAGAAGACTTATCTTTGCTCCACTGCATTGACTTTGCTCTGAAGATTCTGCACCCGTTCCAATGTGCTTGGCTTTTCCCACGCCACCAAACAAGGCTCCTACAGCAGCCGAGTGTCCTAACAACTCAGCTCCATTCGCACACCAGCTACCTGGAGACAGCTTCAGGTGAACAGCTCATCCCCGCAAGACCTCCCTGCGCTTGAGATGCCATCACAGGTCCAGGTTGTTACCTGTGCTTCTGACAGACTAGCTCTAAACCACAGGTTCCCAGGACCCCTTCCTGGGGTTTCATTAATTTGCTGGAGCAGCTCAAACAACTCAGGAAACCAGTTCACTCACTAAATCACAGGTTTATTGCAAAGGATATTAAAAGATATGAATCAACAGCCAGATGAAGAGGTAACAGGGTGAGGTTCCAAACAAAGGAGCTTCTGTCCCTTTGGAGTTTGGGGCCTGGCATGGGGGCATGTGGAAGTGTTCTGGTTCCCCAGCCTGCAAGCGCTCTGAACACCATCCTCTTGGGTTTTTATGGAAGTTTCATAACATAGGCAGTACTGACTAAGTCGCTGACTATTGGTGATCGACTCAATTTCCCTCCCCTCCCCTTCCAGGAAATCCTGGGTGGGACTGAAAGTTCTAAAGCTATATTCATGGATTGCTACCCTAGCAACTGGTCCCCCCCCTTCATCTTTAGGGGATTTCCAAGAGTCTCCTCATTAACAGAAACTCTATTATGGTTAAAAGCAGTTTGTTTTGCATAAGACATTCATTCATCTTTATGGCTCTGAAGCAATTTGTAGAACTGAGGACAGAAGACCAAATATAACAATAGGTGTTCCCATGGCTCGTATCCCTTAGTCCAAGGCTTTTGGGAGCTGTAAGCCAGGAACCTTGAACAGAAACCAAAATATGTATTTAGTAAAAATCACCATATTACAGCTCCTTTGTCAAAGATCAGTTTACTGTGTATTTCTGTGGGTCTGTTCCTGAGTTCTCTATTCTGTTCCATTGATCTAGGACTGTCTCACCATCTTAATTACTGTTGCTGTATAGTAAGTGTTATCTACAGAAGATTTTATTCATTTCCAGTCTTTATGCCTTTTATTTCCTTATTAAGTCCTTGCCTTATTGCACTGGCTAAATCCCTCAATATTATGTTGAATAGGAGTGGTGAGAGCAAACATCCTTGTGTTATTCCTAAGCTTGGTGGAAAGCACTGTCTTTCACCATTAAGTATGGTGTTGGTTGTAGGATTTTATAGATACCCTTTATCAGGTTAAGAAGTTCCCTTCTTCTTAGTTTCCTGAGATTTTTATTATAATGTATGGATGTTGAATTTTGTCAAATACTTTTTCTGCATCTATGAGGATCACTATAAGGTTCTTCTTTTGTCTGTTGAAATGGTAAATATTGATCGATTTTTTTGATTGATTTGATTGAGTGATTGGTTCCTGAGTTTTGAACAGGGCTTGCATCCCTGGGACTAACCACTTTGTTGTTATGTGTTATCTGTTTTGCTTTGATAGTGTTTTTTCTGAGGATTTTGCATCTGTGTTCATGGTGGATATTGGCCCATAGTTGTAACATCTGGTTTTGGTAAGAGGCTAATGCTGACTTCATAGGATGTATTGGAAAGTGTCGCTCCTTTTTTTCTTAAGAGTTTGTATAAGACTGGTAATTTTTTTTTTCAATGTTTGGTAAAATGTGGCAGTGAAGCCGTCTGAGACTGGAGTCCTTCTGTTTGTTTTTGTTTTGTTTTGATGGAAAATTTTTAGTGAAGATATCAATTTATTTAATATGTATGGAACTATTCAAGTTATCCATTTCTTCCTTGAGCTTTGTTCAGTGTGTCTTTCAAGGAATGTTTCTATTTTGCTGCATTTATAGGCATAAAATCACTTCATTATTCTTTTTTTCCCCTTTTTATTCTTTTAATGTCTGTAGAGCCAGTAGAGAGGCTCCCACTTTCATTCTTCATCTTTGTAATTTGTTCTTGTTTTGTTTCTTTGGCCAACCTATTTAGAGTTTACCAAGTTTATTGCTCTTTTTAAAGAACTAGCTTGGGATTTGGGGAAGTTTTTGTAGATTTTTTTGTTTTCTTCTTTTTCCTCTTGCTCATTTTCAGTTCTGAATTTCCCTGATTTCTCTTCATGACTTCCTTACTTCAGCTTAAAGGGAATAATATGCAATTCTTTTCCCTATTAGATCATTAATTTGAAGCTATTCTTCTCTTAATACAAGCATTTAATGTTTTAAATATTACTTTAAGTCCTTCTTTGTTTGGTTCCTGCAAGTTTTTGCCTTTTCATTTTTATTCTATGCAAGATATGTTTTAATTTCCCTTGTGACTTCCTCGTTGCACCATAGGTTATTTAGAAGTGTAATGCTTAATTTCTAGATATTTGTGGCTTTTCCAAATATCTCTTTGTCGCTGATTTTTAGTTTAGTTCTGTTATGATCAAAGGATATACTTTGTGTGATTTACATTCTTCTAAATTTTGTGAGGTTTCTTTTTTTTTCACCCAGAATTTGGTCTGTCTTGGTAAATATCCCATTTGCACTTAAAATGAATGTGTCTGGGGTTGTCAGATGGAAAACTCGGTGAACCTCAGTGAGGTAAGGCTGGTTGACACTGTTGTGTGGATCTTCTGAATCTTGGATTTTCGTCTAATTCTATTGATTACTGAGAGAGTAGTATTGAAGTCTTTAATTATAATTGTGGATTTGTCAATTTCTTCTTCGAGTTCTATCAGTTTGCTTTGTGTATTTTGAAACTGTTGTTAGGTACATTATTCTGAAGTATACTACACTCAATATTAATATAGCTGTTCCAGCTTTCCTTTGGTTCACTTTAGCATGGTATAATTTCATTCTTTTACTTTTAACCTATTTATGTCTTTATATTTAAAGTGGATTTCTTCCATGCAGCACCTAGCTGTATCTTACCTTGTTATACAGTTTGACCATCTCTGCTTTTTATTGGGATGTTTAGATCATTTATGTCTAATGTGATTATTGATATGGTGAGGTGTAAGTCTATCATCTTGCTAGTTATTTTGTTTGTCCAATCTATTCATTGTGCCTTTTTCCTCTTTTCTGTCATCTGTCACCTTTTGGAATGATTGAACGCTGTTTACGATTCCATCTTACCTTCTTTGGTAGCTTAGTAGTTAGGCTTCTTTAGGAGTTGAGGATTTATAGTTCACTTATCACAGTTCACCTTCAAGTAACATTGCACTTCATGCCCAGTGCAAGAGCCCTGTGACAGCGTACTTCTGTCTCCCCTTTCCTAGCCTTTGGGATATCGTTGTCATGTATTTTACTTCTGTGTATGTTACATATTGCCCAATGCCTTGTTATTATTTTTCACATAAACAGTTATATTTTAAAGATACTGTAAAAATAAAAGGAAGAGTTATTTCTGTTTATCTACATACTAGCCATTTCCAGTGCCCTTCATTCCTTTGTTTGGATCCTGATTGCTCTCTGATATCATTTTCCTTCTGCATGAAAGACTTCCTTTATTCTTTCTTGTATTGTGCGTATATAACATTTCTTGTATTGTGCTTATGCTACTGATGAATTCTTTCAGCTTTTGTGTGTCTGAAAAAGTCTTTGTTTTTGGCTTTTGAAAGATATTTTCACTGGGTATCAAATTATTTCTTTTGGGGCTTTATGGTCTTCTGGCTTGTGTTGTTTCTGATAAGAAGTACATTATCATTCTTATCTTTTCCTCTCAACCTAATGTATCTTTCTCTGGCTGCTTTTAAGGTTTTCTCGTATTAGCACTAAGCTGTTTGATCATGATGTGCCTGGTGTAGTTTTCTTCATGTTTCTTTGGCTTAGAGTTTATTAAGTTTCTTGGATCTGAATTTATAGTTTTCATCACATTTGAAAAAATTCTATCCATTATTTCTTTGAAGATTTTCTTGTCCCTCTGTCTCGCCTCTTCTCTTGGGAACCCCAAGAACACATATTTTGAGCTGCTTGAAAATTGCTCCTGAGCTCAGTGATGCTCTGTTCATTTTTTTCCCCAGTTTTTTGTTTTTGGATAGTTTCTATCACTGTATCTTCAAGTTCATCTTTTATGTTTCAGTATCTAATCTGGTTTTATTCCCATCAGTGTATTTTTTGTTTCAGACTTTTTTTTCATCTCTGAAAGTTCTGCTTGGGTCCATGTGCCTGGTAATTTCTTACTGGATACCAGACATCGTAAATTTTACCTTCTTTGGTGCTGGATATTTTTATTACCTTTTAAATATTCTTGAGCTTTGTTCTTACCCATTTTATAAATGAGGAAATAGGCACAAAGAGGTTAAGAATATCTAGACTTATAGGCGTTATCTAGGCAGAGAAAATTGGAGAAAGTGCTAGTGGTAAAGAGAACAGCACACGCAAGGGCACAGAGTAGTGAGAGCTTGTGCTACTTTCAGGGAAACCTAATACTTCAGTAAAATGTAGCTGAGGAGGTGGAGCTGGAAAAAGTCAGAGGCCAAATCAGGAAGGGCTTCGTACTTTTTATTTTGTAGGTAATGGGGTGCCAAGTCAGATTTGTGTTTTTAAGAATGTTCCTCTGGCAATGGAATAGAGGATGAATTAAAGAGGCAGCTTAGAGGAAACTTGGAAGCCATTTCTAAAGTCTTAATTCTTGCTTTCGTCATCTTTGCTTTAGGTCATGGGTCTGTCTTGAACGTAAATGGTGAAGTTGAAATGGATGCTAGTATCATGAATGGAAAAGACCTGTCTGCAGGAGCTGTGTCTGCAGTCCGCTGTGTTGCAAATCCCATTAAACTTGCACGGCTCGTTATGGAACAGGTAGGTGTGACTAAAGCCTCCTTTTCCTAAGGAATTGTTACTGCTGTGCATCATTGATTAAAAGGGCTCTGACTGGGGGGAGGTACTTGAGATCACTCTTCTCCTGAAATTATATAAAATAACAGAAGTAATGTTATTTAAGTTAAATAAGCCAAGACTCTGATTGTTGATGGTATAATTTGCCTAGTAATCACTTGACTAGTGGTTACTTTGCTTTCCCGTTATCTTCTTGTATTTTCTTCAACATCCACTCAACGCATACAACATAACGCACAGAAACTGAACAGACCAACTGTTTAACAGCGCGTGTTAAATAAAAATGGATTGAGTTCTCTAAATTTAAGGTCATATGCCACTTTCCTATTAATATTCCATCATTCTTTGGTTTTTTGAAAATAAAAAAACTCAGAGAACCACGCTTTTTTCAACATTTGGAAAAGCAAGACAGGGATTTGCATTTCTGAGACTTTGTATCCAGAAAGAAGTAATTATTTCCACACAGTTGGAACAGTTAAAACGATTTCAACTTTTTCAAAAAAACTGACCATTTTCCCACTTTTTCTGGCTCAAGACATCTCATTGCTTTCTGACTGGCCAAGGGGCAGCAAAATTTGCAGCATCTATGGGAGTTCCAACGGTTCCTGGACAGCAGCTGGTCACAGAGAGAAACATGAAGCGCCTAGAAGAAGAGAAGCATGAGAAACGTGCTCAGAAACCAGGCTGTCAGAAGTAAGTACCTCCTGCAGCTGACACTTTGGGGAGTTATTGCAGAGTGAAAGGTCGACAAACACCTGATTATCCACATTTCTTAAGTAAGTTCCATGTTTTGAACAAAATAATTCACAGTAAATAATGGAAAACTGCTCCTTTGATTCTTAAATGTGACCTCATTTATTGCTCCTATTAATAGTAAATCAAAGAATGCCTTGTGTTAGTGCATTAACTCGGGATGCTTCTCGATCGGTTTATCTTAAGTAGACTAAGTCAGTTCTCCATGACGTAGTTTACCCTATGAACTTGCTTAAGCACTCTTGCATCGTCCAGAGAAATCGGTACAACTCTTTTAGTTTGAATGAGTCATATGTTCTGAACTATGTTTTTCTGCATTATGGATTTCAAAATCCCAAATAAAAGTCCCCTTACTTAAAGCAAAATTTGAAAAATAAGATTTGAACATGGACTGGGAGTTTATAATGGAATATAATCTATTAACTCTGAATGCTTTTTCTTTGAGATTCATAAGATTTAGTCAGAGGTTATGTTAATATGATCTAAGGAGCTTTCTCAAAATATATATGTCTAGGCCAGTTCTCTAAAGAATCAAATTTAATAGCTCTCAAGTGGAGAAGCCAGGCAGGTGTACTAGGACTAGGTGTCTCAAGTGATTCGGGTGTGTCCCCAAGTTAAGAATCTGTTTTGCAGGATTGGCCATGTGCTGGTAGCTATTGATAACCTTCCCAGGGGTGCTGTAGTATCTATAGGCCATAGTTGCAAGAATGGGGCTGCTTACCAGTGGTTCATTGATGTGGCCACATTGCTTTCCAAAAATTCTGCAAGAAGACGTATCTCCACCAACCAGTACTGCTCTTAGATGTAGGCAGAAGTGCTCCTGCCCTGGGCCTTGCACTTCAGGGGACCCTCATCATCACAAATGCACAGGGCAGATGGTTTATTACAGACACTGGGGCCTGTCTGCCACTGAGCAATGGCAGAGCGTGACCCATAGCCCTCATCGTCTGCTCTGTGACTGACACCATTTGGCCACCAGGGAAATGCTTTCCACATCTCTTGCTCTGTCTCGGAAGCAAAGGCCACCTGAATCTTAAAGCAAATAAGCCAATTAAAAAATGGACAGAGGATCTGAACAGACAGTTCCCCAAAGAAGAAATTCAGATGGCCAGCAGGCACATGAAAAGATGCTCCACATCACTAATCATCAGAGAAATACAAATTAAAACCACAATGAGATATCACCTCACACCAGTTAGGGTGGCCACCATCCAAAATATTTCAAACAACAACAAATGTTGGCAAGGATGTGGAGAAAGGGGAACCCTCCTACACTGCTGGTGGGAATGTAAACTAGTTCAACCACTGTGTAAAGCAGTATGGAGGTTCCTCAAAAAACTAAAAATGGAAATACCATTTGACCCAGGAATTTCACTCCTAGGAATTTATCCTAAGAATGCAGCAGCCCAGTTTCAATAAGACATATGCACCCCTATGTTTATCACAGCACTATATACAATAGCCAAGAAATGGAAGCAACCTAGGTGTCCATCAGTAGATGAATGGATACAGAAGAGGTGGTACATACACACAGTGGAATATTATTCAGCCATAAGAAGAAAACAAATCCTACCATTTGCAACAACATGAATGAAGAGGGTATTATGCTCAGTGAAATAAGCCAGGTGGAGAAAGACAAGTATCAAATGATTTCACTCATCTGTGGATTATAAGAACAAAGAAGAAAACTGTAAGAACAAAACAGCAGCAGACTCACAGAACCCAAGAATGGACTAACAGTTACCAAAGGGAAAGGGACTGGGGAGGCTGGGTGGGAAGGGAGGGAGAAGGGGGAGAAGGGGTCATTATGATCAGCACACATAATGTAGCGGGGGGGGACACGGGAAAGGCAGTGTATACAGAGAAGACAAGTAATGACTCTATAGCATCTTACTATGTTGGTGGACAGGGACTGTAATGGGGTATGTGATGGGGACTTGAAAATAGGGGGGGTCTAGTAACCATAATGTTCAAGTAATTGTACATTAACGATACCAAAATAAAATAAAATAAAATGAGTATGGCTGTTTTACTGTTAAGAGGACTAAAACATTTTTCACGTTTAGAGAAACAAAAACAAAACTGCGTGTAAAATATGCAAAAACAACCACATTCCAATAAAATATAAGGAAATTGAAATGAAACAAAAATAATTTGCCTGACTTGAAGGAGATTTATATGTAAATAATCCTAAAACCAGTTTATAAAAAGCTGTGTTTCTGTTTATTTGTGTATCAGCATATAATATCATTTGAAGAGAGATGTGAACAAAATCAGACAACATAGTGCTATTTGCAGTTTGCTTTTTAATATACCAGCATTACAATTTGAAAGAAGATACTCCGCAAGGATCTAACATTGTTTAAGAGATGATAAAAATGATGACGATAAGTGATTGTGATTTATATGATCAAATTTTAAATATTTGGCAGTGTCTTCTGTGGTAAGTATATCATGTAACCCCATATAGCATTTGAGTGTGGTTATGTCAAAATCATGATTCATTTCCAAACCTAAGTATTGCTCTAAGAACTGTATTGATTATTACAGTTGCTACTGCCTCAGCAGAGCAAACCTCCTCCAAATGAAAATTAAAAACTTGCTAAGATCCACCCTGATTCAAGAAAGGTTATCTTATTTGGCATTTTGTCAGTAGAATGCATGTTGTATGGAAATGTTGATTATAAGAGCATACTGCCCCTTGAAGGCTAGCCTAGTTAATTTTATGGAATGAATACATAATTTATGAGTTATGTGTATGTGTGTCTTTTTTCACGCATCCAGCCATCACCAGCTAGTCAACCAAGGACCCAGATGTGCACAGTAGTAATCAAATCAGCATTGATAGTTGGTCAACTTTCAGTCATGTGAAAACTGTAATATTACAATATTTTTCAAGGTACTTTTATCCCAGTAAGAGAGTAGAACATACTATAACTGGTAAATATTAAGCATACGGTGTGTGGGCTTCCATTTGTATTTGTATTCTTGCCTCAACTCTTGCAGATGTTGGGGTGGACCTGCCATAGCCGTGATGGGGAGCCCCTCTTTCATTCTCTAAAGTGAGAAGGACAATTTTTCTGCTCTCATTTGCTCTTCCCTGACTATTAACACGTTTGAGCATTTTGTGTTTGTTTATGGGTCGGTCATTCCTTTCTGTTAATTTGCCTTTTTTTGTCCTATGAACATTTTTTCTCTTCAGCAATTTTGTCCTCTTCAGATCTCAAGACTTCTCCATTAAAATAATTTTTCCAAGTCTGTTTTTAATCTTGCTTTTTTTTTGCTTATGGTATTTTTGCCATATGAAAGGGTAGTTTTATTTGTAATCAAATATGCATCTGCCTATTCAGTATAGTCTGTAAGACTAGAAACTTAGAAGGTGTGCCCCACCCTGAGGCACAGAGCCACCTAGAGTTTCTTAAGAATTTTGCTTCATGTTTTGTATTTCTTTCACCATTACATTTCTGAGACGCACCCATGTGTTGCATATAGCACTAGCTCATTATCATGGCAGTATAGTACTCCACTACGTGCAGGTATCACAGTTTATTTATTCTGCCTTTGGTGGACATATGTGTCGTTTTCAGTTTGCTATTACTACAAACAGTATTCCTATGAACATTTTTATACACTTTTTCGTGAACATATCTTCACGTTTCTGTGGGACAGAAATGCAGGAGAGTAATGGCTGAGTCAGCTCTGGTAGGTGCTGCCAACTGGTCTTCCAAAGGGGTTTCACCCGTCTACACTTCCAGCAGTAATGGGTTAGATTCCAGCTTCTGTGTACCTGTGCCCACACTTGACTGTCTCATTCTAGCCACCCTGGTGGATTGTTCTAGTGGCATGGAGCACTGGTGGGTTCGGGGAGTGAGAAAAATGGTCGTTTTAAACCTTAACTCATATTGTGGCATTTCTCAGCTCAGACTCTCTGGGGTCTTCCCATCTTAGAATAAAAGCGCGTACAACGCCCTTTAAGTAATGTTCAAACTGGAACTTCATTTTGAGAGTAAAAGGGCAACAGGCATACGACAGGCCTGTCCTGGGGAACCAAGACATTTGGTCACTCCTCCCATCAGGGTTCCCTCGCCCTCTCCTTTGCTCTATTCTCTCCATCCACAATGGCCTCCTTGAAGCTCCATGAATGTAGCAATCATGCCTGCTTCCAGAGCGTTCTCCCCAGCCACCACACCCCTTCCGGGAGGCTCTGTGTCACTCAGTGTTCCCCGTCATCCCTCCCGCACGCTGCTGCAGCTGTCAGCATCTTTGTTGCTGTATAAAACGAGACCTGAAACTGACTGCCGTTAGCCTCTGCCCCAAATGCAGGCTCCTCGGGAGAAGGGACGTTGTCTGTGTAGCTCACAGCTGTCCTGGCACTTACAATAAGGCCTCAAATATAGTTCATTATAGAATCGGGGTAGTGGGTGTGTGGCTGTTACTCTACACTTTCTTCAACCTTTCTACTTGAAAGTTTATAATCAACTGTTAGGGGCAAACTAACTTATTTCATCTTTACAGCAAGCACTGGGCAAAGGGCTCTGGATGGGCGGCATCTGCATCTCATGGAAGGTTGTCAGAAATGCGGGATGCTGGGTCCCGCCCTGTACCTTCCAGCTCAGGATGTCCGGGGTGGACTCAGGGATCCTGACGCACGCTGAAGTCTGAGATGCACTCCATTTTTTTTGTCCCCATTTTATAGTTGGGGAAAGGCGACATTGAGAATAAAACTGTCAAGTCCCAGAGCTGAAAAATGGTGCTGGATTGGATGTACTCCAAAGCTGAGGTTTAAAGGAAGGCCTGGCAATCTGACCTATTGAGCAGAGCAAACAGGCTTCCTTTGCTATTTCTGTGAGTCACGAATGTTGGAATGAAAAGGTGTCCCATTTGCTGTGAACACACAATGTGGGTATTTAAGTGGTATGAAGCCGCATCATGACTTGGGGGAGTGACTTTTTTCTGTTTTCTTTTGGCAGAAACTTGGGAACTGTGGGTGCTGTTGCCTTGGACAGTGAAGGAAACGTGGCTTACGCAACCTCCACCGGGGGCCTCGTAAACAAGATGGTGGGCCGCGTCGGGGACTCGCCCTGCATAGGTGGGCTTGGTGGTTGACTCCTGCCGCCCTCCCCGCTGTCCTCAAGCTCTCATTCTCACTCCCTGCCCTCCTTTCTCCATTTGCCTCCTTCCTGGCAGCAGCCGCAGAGCCTGGGAACACAGCAGGCTGGAAGGGTTTTGGAGGGCACCATGTTGAGGTGTTTGTATCTGGTGGGCACCTGGCATGTCCTGGGGCGCGTGTCTTTGGGATGACGTGGGGAGGAAGATGGGGCTGCTAAAGTTGCCCCCGGGCTACCCCATGATGCCTCCTCCTTCTTTCTCTGTAGCCCCCATTTCAGCTTCTGCAGACTTACTCCCAAAGCATTAAGTACATGAAACCTCTTCCCGGGCATGGGCTCATATTAAGAAACTAAGGAAACTGAGAATTTAAGTTTGCAGTTACTAGATTTGAGTGGCATGGAAGGGCATTATTAACATTGAAACACACTGCCTGGTCCCAGGGTTGGGTGAGTGGTGCGGTGGGATGGTTGTATGTGTTTCACCCTATGCACACCTAATAAATGAGCTCTGGGACAAAGGAGAGGCAATCCTGTGGCTGCTTCATGAGAGGTCAGGCCTCCCCCCAAGGCTCCCTTCATCCTGATTTCTGGCCCACCTTTGCATCCCAAGGTCATGGCTACTGACAATTATCTACACTTTGACACTCTTTGGGATTTTTTTTTTTTTGTAGATAATTATTTTTTATTGAAGGGTAGTTGACACACAGTGTTACATTAGTTTCAGGTGTACAACACAGTGATTCAACATTTATATACATGATAATTCTAGCTACCAGCTATCACCATACAAAGTTGTTACAATATTTTGACTATATTCCTTATGCTATACATTACATCCTGGTTACTTATTTATTTTACAATTGGAAGTCTGTACTTTTTTATTTATTTATTTTTTTTGAGAGCGCATCTCTCATATTTATTGATCAAATGGTTGTTAACAACAATAAAATTCTGTATAGGGGAGTCAATGCTCAATGCACAATCATTAATCCACCCCCAGCCTAATTTTCGTTAGTCTCCAATCTTCTGAAGCATAACGAACAAGTTCTTACATGGAGAACAAATTCTTACATAGTGAACAAGTTACATGGTGAACAGTACAAGGGCAGTCATCACAGAAACTTTCGGTTTTGATCACGCATTATGAACTATAAACAATCAGTTCAAATATCTTTGGGATTTAATATTGATACCACAGTAGACTTGTAAGACATATTTGAATTTCTTGACTGCTGCTACTCAGAACCAACCACTTTTTCTGAGCAGGATCTGGAGGTTATGCCGACAATGACATTGGAGCCATTTCAACGACCGGGCATGGGGAAAGCATCCTGAAGGTGAATCTGGCCAGGCTCGCTCTCTTCCACGTAGAACAAGGTACACAGAACACGTTCATGATGTCCAAAGATGCATGACTAGAAGTATTTGTGAGCAGGTGGAGAAGTGCATCCGTCTACTGTTAGCTCCAGAGGTTGCTCTCAGGTCATTCACACTGTTTGACTCCTGCTAGGATCTGGGTAGGAGCATTTAGAATACGTCTGCCTTGTGTATCTGGGGGCAGTGGAGAGCCTCGGAGCCCGGCTGCAGGAGAAAAGGCAACTCCACTTAGGCTGATGCCAGGCCCTGTCTCAGAGACAGGAGGGGGCTCCCCTTCAAAGCATTCAAGCAGAAGCCATTTGCCAAGTCTTTCTTACCTAGCTCTGCTTTTTCATGCTGCAGGTGACCTTCCCGTCGATTCCTCCCAATAATGTGTTGTTTCTCAACTTTTCCCTGTTTTCAGGAAAGACATTAGAAGAGGCTGCTGACATGTCATTGGGTTATATGAAGTCAAAGCTCAAAGGTTTAGGTGGTGTCATCTTGGTCAGCAAAGCAGGGGACTGGACAGTAAAGTGGACCTCTGAATGCATGCCCTGGGCGGCCGTGAAGTGTGGCAAGCTGCACTTTGGAACCGACTGTGATGACACCAGTGTCACTGACCTGCCCTGAAGTCCTGCCCTAGGAGGAGCATGTGCTGGACGCTAGATTGGAGGTAAAGTCCAGTTTCCTGGTGTGGAGGCTGAGCTTCACCAGTTAGATCTGGACATGGAAAAATTCTGCAGTCTGTTGCTCATTTTGTTGCCTTGATCAATAAGTATCTGAATGTTGGGTTGGGTTGGGTTCAGTTGAGGTCAGAATGATGAGAGAAATGCCCACACTGAGGTCAAAATAGGGTTAGTGAAGATGACAAGCTGTACTCAGCCTTCTCGTGAACAGTCCCCACTATTGTTCATTAGAAAGAAGAAACGACATGTTCGTAACACGACAGAAACAGCCGCAGAGCAGGGAGTGCCTTTTGGATTGGGAGCCTCCCAGCAGTGACAGGAGCAGTAGGCTTGGCAGCGGTGCCGGATCCAGAGGAGCCCAACCTCTGGGGTCTCTTGGTGGCAAACTTCTCTGCAGGACCCAGTGAGGAGCAGTGTGGGAGGGGAAGGCCCCAGTGGGGGCATTTAAAAGTAAAAGGAGCAGCAGAGCCTAAAGGAGAGGTCCAGGTGAACTGCAGAATGTACAGTTCATTTTGAGTCAGAAGAACATGGGCAAAAGAATTCATGAGAGATAGATTAATTGGTTTTTCCAAATAAATTCAGATCTTCTCTGACTTACTAATATAGACATGTTTCCAGATGCTTTAAAAGGTCCCTAAGGTAATCTGAGCTCCCTAATCTGGTGCTGAGAGTCACAATAGACCTTGCGAAGCTCCTTCAAGGCCGAAAGCTTCCCCAGGCTCACGCGTGAGCCGCTCACCGAGCGTTTTTCTGCCAGCCCATGTGGCTGGTCAGAGCCAGGCTCCACCTGTCACAGACCCGCCGGGTCCATGTAGTGAGCGCTGGCACCCGGCCTCCCCGCCTCTCCTGGGACAGGGAGGGGCAGGGAGGGCCAGAGCGGAAAGATGAGCTGTGACTTGATGCGTCTGGTCCTGCCCAGCGCTGTGGGTCCCCCAGCTGCTTGTGTCTGTCTCCAGCATGGCCAGCATGGAGAGCTTTCCTATCAATCTCTCTTTATACCAGAAATGGTACGTCTGCTGTGACATATATGCTCAATTTTTTAGTCTGTCAGGGCCTACCTTCTCTCTGGAAAGGAATTGCTTAACTTTAAATGCCATGTGCCACTAATAAAGTATACTTTGAAAGAGTAACAGTGTGGTTAGGAGTCACTGTTGACAAAGACCAGAGTGTACATGAGCTCCCCTTGGTCCATTAGTTCAGACTGGTACACTAAAGAGACCTTCCAAGATAGGGTGGGCTGTGGGCCTGATGATACATCCTGCCTCGTGGAGTGGATGTAGGAGTTTCCAGAACCGGCTTTTTCTGAATGAGTTAAGGAAGAAACCGAAGCACCACTTGCAAGCAGGGTTTATGGCTCAGTCTTCTTGCACTTTGCCATTATTCACTCCGGACAGCCATCCTGTTCCAGCTCCCGTCCCAGGACCCCCTCCCTGGGCCCATGTCGGCTGCTTGACCTAAAGAGAAGAGGCGGCACGTGGAGGCAGAACTGCATTGAGTCCTGCCCCTCCCTGCTGCCTGGGTGGTCCTGGGCAAGTTAACTTCTACCAGCTGAGCTATCGAAGGGTGCACGTGGGCAAGTTAACTTCTAAGAATATTTTTACCTATCAAATAGATTGCTATGAAGATTAAATTAAATTAAAGGAAACCTGCTCAGTATTTATCTCAGGGATACTGTGAACAAATATGGAAACTGTGGCCAAGCCCAGGAGGAAATCTGTTCTTGTGTCCTTGAAAACCTCAATACACAACAACTGGCCTTTAGAAACAAGTATTTTGTTCGCAGATGTATTCATTTGCTAGGGCTGCCAGCCACAAAATAGCACAGACAGTGGCTTAAACAACAGAAAAGTGTTTTCTCACGGCTCTGGAGGCTGGAAGTCCAAGGTCAGGGTGCCGGCAGGTTGGTTTCTCCTCTGGGCTTCTCCTTGGCTTGCAGATGGCCGTCTCCTCACCATGACCTCCCATGGCCTTTAGATATTTCTGTGGCCAGCCTTCCTCTTACAAGGACACTAGTCAGACTGGATTCGGGCTCCGCAAAAGGCCTCATTTAATCATCCCTTCTAAGGCCCTACCTCCAGAGACACTTTCTGAGGTACTGGGGTTAGTCCAACTTACAAATTTTGAGGGGACACGATTCAGCCCGTACCAGGGGACAAAGCAGAATTATATTAGGGGTTGGAAGAGGAGAGACTGGAGAAGATAGTGATCACTAAGCAGATAAGGGAAGAGGGAGGCCGGTTGAAACATCTGTTTTACACTAATCGGCTCTGTCAGTTCACAAGGAAAATGAGTCTAGTTATCAGAGCTGGAGGCTCACAGGCCACCTGACCTCTTTTGTCAGGCAGCCCAGTTAGGAAAGGGCACATTGACCCCTTTGGGCAACCCAAGGTGTGTATTGTTGCCGTCGGACCTTGGGTCTGTGCAGTCACCTCCGCTAGCCTGGGAATCCATCAGCAGAGGTGGCTCTCCTTTGCTGCACACATGGTCCAGCGGCCTCTGTAACTCAAATTCCTGAGCAAGGTGCTACGTCCAAGCGGATGGCGAGCTTTGTACCACTTCCTACCACAAGAGGGCAGCCAACTATAAAATGTCCAAGGGTTTCAACAGCCCAAAAGGGAGATGATTCCTCCTGACTCTAGATCAGAATGATCTACACAGAAAATGTGGAACCAAAAGTGGGTTCCTTTTCCTAACCTTCATTTTTATCTAAACACTATAATTTGTTTTAGAGCAAAATTGTCCAAAAAACAAATATAGCAAATGCACCGCAGAACTCATAAAAATCAACCATTTCTCTTGACTCTTAAAACAATTGAACGTACTCTAGGCCTGCTGCCAGATGTGGGGGCCCAGGGCTGAGCACAGTCAGGCAGCCCTCGGTTGCCCCTTCCAGTCAGGGAGACATAAAATATATTTGGCCTAAACTCACCAAAATGGTGGAATAATAAGGAGCACACAGAGGGCCCAGAGCCCAGAGATGGTGCCACCCTGGCGGGCGGTGCTGCGGGCAGCCCCCCCTGAGCTAGAAAGAAAGGTCCTGGACAGGAATGGCCTTGCCCTTGTAGCTGTTGCTCAATAAATGATTTTTCCAAACAATGCCCTTTCTAGACATATTCCTTTGTAGCATAAGAGATGATAAATATGAAGTCAAAGAAAGGTGGAATGGGATGTACTTCAATCCACCAAGGTCCCCGGCGGAAGTGGTGGCGTTGGGGGACTGCAGCCTGCAGCCCACCCCCTCCCCAGTGCTCCCATCGGCCTTCGTCTTCGCAGAAACCAACAGGCTTCGGTGACGAGGGAGGCCTTGTCCCCTCAGAGCTTGTCCAGCTGGGACAAAGCCAGGCATCCTCTTCTGCTCTGCACAGGGAAAGGCATGACCCAGAGAGGAATGGGGGCTGGCCCGAAGGGCAGAGGTGAAACCAGGCCTGCAAATGGGGTTGCAGGAGGTTTAGGCCTGGAACGCAGGCAGGGCTGGGCTGGGAGTGGGTGTGGGTGCCCATTAGTGGTTCCATCCAGAGCCCAAGTTCCTCTAATGGGCAAGCAGCCTTCCTGCCTTACCCGCAGACACACACCGGAAAGAGGAACCACGGTCACGTGGAGTTGTCTGCTGTGAGAAGCCAAAGATGTGTGAGGGGAGACAGGCATGACTCTGCCCTTTTGAAAGATAAAGGCCCACAGAAACTGACATTTCCTCCAAGGCCACTCCAGGTTAAAGAGGCTTATCCCAGCCTCCCTGTCCCTTAGTCCTGTGTCCCTGATGTGACAGTCCTCAGCAGACCACCCTTGACACCAGTGCCCACAGAGACCTAAGTAGGGGCCTCCCCAAGAGCACCCCCCGCAGGAGGCAGGGAGAAACAGCACATTTTAACTTTATCCTTCAAATTCTGTACCTTTTATCCAACCCATTATTAAAATGAAGTTGGGTTTCCAGATAGTGTGGTGTGGGCATGGACTGGGTTGATAGGGCAAACTAAGCTAGGATTTTTTTCTCTTTTAAATCACTGATCATCTCAGAGTTAACTATATTTTTTGCTATATAATTATCAGTGCTTTATGGATCCTGTACAGAACTCAGATGGGGTTTGGGTTCTAAGCTATGGCTGGGAGCAAAGGAGAAAAGGATTCCCACTGCATAGGGCTAAGGAACACCTCGGTTCAGGCAGCCCTGGGTTGTTATCTTGCAGGGGAAGATTTTTACTAAACATTTTAAGTTAAAAGTAAACTTTTACCACAACAAAAGGTGTATATACATTGTAGAAGTTTGAAAAAATAATTCTAAAGTAAGTGTGAGAAAACAGAACCACAAAAATAAGAAAAAGGTGGGGAGGAATTTCCCATCACCTAATGAATATTACTCACTGTTAGCATCTATTAAACATTGTAAGTATTTTTCACAAAATGAGATTATATCATACATAAAGCTTTTTTTCCAGTTAACATCCACCTTTCCATGTCAATAAACTTCCACATTATATAATACCCAGTCAATATTCAAAGTTCTCCTGTTTTCTCAAAAGCATCCCTGACAATAGGTTTGTCCAAAATCCTGCCCTCACCTGGATCAGTGATTACGTGCCTCTTTTAATGGCTCTGACTTGTGAGATAATTAGGGCCAGGTGCCTAGCACTGTCCCACCTTCCCAGTTGGGCAGGTTACCTCCTGTGGGATAAGATGAGCATTAGGCTAGAATATACCACAGGGGTGCTGGGTACCAGGCCAACCATGTCAGACACAAATGTGGATGTCCCCTCTGCAGCAAAGGGCCACTGTGTCAGGCTGTTGGGGACAGGACTGTGCTATGGGGACAGGGATGTGGGTTGTGCCAGAAGTACAAGGCCCCACCCAGAAATTTGGCTAAGAGTAACTTGAACTCAGAGGAGCAGGTGGGGAGGTAGTTTGCCCTGTGCAGCCACCAGGAAAGGACTCACCCACACCCTTCCTGCTCAAAGCCTCGCTCTTCCCAGGTCACTTCCCTTCCCAACCGCACTCACCTTTGACCTTTCCCAAGGCCTGCCTCACCGCACAATGAACAAGAGCCACCCCAGTGACCCTTGGGCAAAGGGTATTGTTCAGTTGACCTTGAATAACATGAGGATTAGGGACACTGACCCCCTGCAAACCCTTGACACCAGTGCCCACAGAGACCTAAGTAGGGGCCTCCCCAAGAGCACCCCCCGCAGGAGGCAGGGAGAAACAGCACATTTTAACTTTATCCTTCAAATTCTGTACCTTTTATCCAACCCATTATTAAAATGAAGTTGGGTTTCCAGATAGTGTGGTGTGGGCATGGACTGGGTTGATAGGGCAAACTAAGCTAGGATTTTTTTCTCTTTTAAATCACTGATCATCTCAGAGTTAACTATATTTTTTGCTATATAATTATCAGTGCTTTATGGATCCTGTACAGAACTCAGATGGGGTTTGGGTTCTAAGCTATGGCTGGGAGCAAAGGAGAAAAGGATTCCCACTGCATAGGGCTAAGGAACACCTCGGTTCAGGCAGCCCTGGGTTGTTATCTTGCAGGGGAAGATTTTTACTAAACATTTTAAGTTAAAAGTAAACTTTTAACACAACAAAAGGTGTATATACATTGTAGAAGTTTGAAAAAATAATTCTAAAGTAAGTGTGAGAAAACAGAACCACAAAAATAAGAAAAAGGTGGGGAGGAATTTCCCATCACCTAATGAATATTACTCACTGTTAGCATCTATTAAACATTGTAAGTATTTTTCACAAAATGAGATTATATCATACATAAAGCTTTTTTTCCAGTTAACATCCACCTTTCCATGTCAATAAACTTCCACATTATATAATACCCAGTCAATATTCAAAGTTCTCCTGTTTTCTCAAAAGCATCCCTGACAATAGGTTTGTCCAAAATCCTGCCCTCACCTGGATCAGTGATTACGTGCCTCTTTTAATGGCTCTGACTTGTGAGATAATTAGGGCCAGGTGCCTAGCACTGTCCCACCTTCCCAGTTGGGCAGGTTACCTCCTGTGGGATAAGATGAGCATTAGG